AGCTGAAGCTACGGTACATGTTCTGTATAATTCTCATGATGGTGCATAATAGGGAGCCATCTATTGGGCATTCACTGCAATTGCAGTCTACTCTTTTTGAAACAGGGAACGGGAAGTTTCACTCACACATCAGTCCAGTTTTCAGTTTAGCTTCAGAAAAAACACAACAGGGAAGGCTTCCCTCCTCCCTTTGACACACATATGCCTGTTAATTCTTTCATTGTCTAAGTCTAAGTCATATATATCTAGATTGCATTTCATTATAATTATTTGATTTGTAGGTAGCTGTTTGTAAGAAATATGCTCATTGTATGCATTTGTACGAGACATGTAAACAAGCATATTGTAACTTCAGTTTATGTGATTGTATTGCGGCTTTACAGAACTATTCACAGAAGTAAATTCAGTTTTGGAGTAATTACATAGCTTAGTCTGGCTGAAAAAAAAAGACAAAAGTCCATCCAGTTCAACCATTAAAAAAAAAAATTAAATGAAATGGAATGAAAAACAACGCTGCCTCTGTCAGTTTTGTTAGCTACCTGCCGGCTAACTGTTAGTAGGGACAGCATCAGGGGCGGACTGACAACTCATGGGGCCCCCGGGCAATAGGGGATCATGGGGCCCCCGTGTCCTTGCCCAAACTCAAAAAAGCCCTAAGAAAAAGGTACCAGGGGCATCTCATGGGGCCCCCTACTGACCCCGGGCCCTCGGGCAGTGCCCGAGTTTCCAAATGGTCAGTCCGCCCCTGGACAGCATACTACACTTGAGTTTTCAATGCATTTGCTTAGAAATTGGGGTTGACTTACTGAAGGAATATAGACAGTTGACTTAGTAAAGTGAATGTTAAAGGGGAACGTTAGTAAGAAAATTAATTCCTCTTGGATCACTTCAGACTGGCCCTTTTTGCAGGTATAGCTATGAAAAACATTAAAAGTAAGTGCCTAAACTGTTTAAAATTTAGTAATACACTGTCTCACCCTGCTCTGCACATGCTCAGTTGCCCACTATTTTTAGGCACTCTGCCAAATTTGTAGAGGCCAATTTTCTGACAGCCTAAAGATTTACTGCTGCTCGGGGGCTCTGGGCTTCAGCAAAATGGCAGCCTCCAGCAAGAAGAAACAGGAGCAATGCTGGAAGGATTTATAGCACACACTAATTTTGGTAGCATCATTATTAATGTGGAATGTATGATCCTTACTAAAGAACATTATTTTATATCAAGTTGTTATGGGTAAACTACAACTAAAGGCAATTTTTTTTTTGAATAGAGTAAAGAAGGGTTTTGACCTAGTCAGGTTTTTTTTTTTTTTTTCCTTTCACTTCCTGTACCATACCCAAAACAGGAAATGAGAAGAAATTCCTCCAAAGTTTAGTTGTCACCAGAACTAGTGTCCCCATTGAAATATTTTCCTTTTATACCTGTATTAGGGACAACCCAAAATTTGGGATTTTTTTCCCTTCGCTTTCAATGATAACGGTAAACAGGGCAAAGGGAGAGGGGGAAATCTCCCAAACGGGGGCACGGACAGCAATAAAAACCTGACAGGTGTTCTAATTCTTCTCCACCCTACCTAAAACTAAAAAGCCTTTTGCCTTTAGTTATACTTTTATAATAAAAATCTTTAAATATTCAATAATGTGCTTGCACATGATTAATTCTTCAAAGTGAATATAACTTCACCTTATTTGCTTACATTCACATTGCTAAGTTGACATCCTTGTTTCTTTAATAAAGAAAAAATAATTGTGCAATTAAAAAAAAAAAATTTGTAAATACTCACCATTTAAACTCCAGTGATACTGCTGCATACATGAAGAATTTGGAATCCCTAGACCCCATGAGAAGGGATATCAAAAGATGCTACATCACGTAGGAGTGTATGTTTCAACAGTTCACTGAATAAATGTGACCAAGATCTGCACAGCTCCCATTAAATGTGCCGTATTCTGTGTAATATAATTATTTCCTACGATTGTAAGTGCCATCTAGCGGCTGTTATGTGGAAGTTTCTTTGTAAATACCTACATTGGAAAAATGGCTCATTATGGCCACTAGATGGCATGCGTGATTACAAGAGTTAGCACTGGGAATTAATGTACGGGTCAGTGACCTGGGTGTGTGTGTGGTGGATACACAGTAAGTGGGAAGGTCAGACCAGGTACTTACCTTATCACCATACCATGATCTTGTTGGAAAAAGGTAAAAAATTTACTTCTATTAAACTGGTTGTAGACGTCAGGCATGAAATATGACCAAAGCTTTTCCACGCTATAGTGTGTGCTTGTCTCAATCCAGAGCACTAAGTGTCATTTCTATCTGCTGCCTCGTTCCTCTTCTATCAGTATAAATCACTTCTGACAGGTTTTCCTGACACCAAGGGAAAATGGTGACATGGGTGGGAGCTCCAGCATGCAGCCTGTGATTGACAGCCTCAGCTGTGTTCCAGTGCTGTGTGAAAGGGGATGTGTCCCTACTCTCCAATCAGCTCTCATTAAGCTCTGCAGAGTGTAACTGCAGCTCCCCACCCCCTGCTTTCTGGATGTTTTTATACGTGTGGTGATTGGCTCTTTGCTCAAGACCCCTCAGCAGAGGGAGTGACCCCCCCACGGCAAGTGGGAATGACATAGTCAGCACTGAACCTCGGTAGAGATTCTCTTCTCACCTTGCTGCTTTCTGGATGTTAAGACTAACTTTAAAAATTTTGGATGTTGAATGGCCGTAGATAAACAGGTACAACCAGGGGAGGACTGACCATTTGGAAACTCGGGCACTGCCCGAGGTCAGTAGGGGGCCCCATGAGATGCCCCTGGTACCTTTTTCATAGGCTTTTTTGAGTTTGGGCAAGGACACAGGGGCCCCATAATCCCCTATTGCCCGGGGGCCCCATGAGTTTTCAGTCCGCCCCTGGGTACAACTTATGTGGGATGATTTGTTTCATCTTTGTGTATCACCTGAGACCAATCACTTCAAAGGGTATACCTGAGGGCTTACAACCACTTTAACCCCTAGACACTGAGCGCATGCAAATATGCGGCCTCTCGGTGTCTGAGCCTTGACACAGAGCGGCCACATATTTGCGTGCCATTAGAAAATACATATGTACTGAGAGCGCGCGCCCTGCGCGCTCCCAGCATGTATGTCTGTAACTCACGGAAAGGTCCCGATCTCCCCTTGCAATCGGGACCTTTTCCGATCATGTGATGGCGAATCACGGTGGTCACATGACCCTAAAACCCCACCCATCTCCCTGTTTCTGAAACTCTTAAAGGGCCGGGAGGTTCGGCGCAAAGGGGTTAAATTACAATATAGTTCTGCCTGGAATTCAGTTTTAAAAGGAAGAAAAGCAGCAGAAAAGGCAAACACATGCCCAATGTATAGGATTTTGGATGCTTACATGACCATCCAGGTTAAAAAGAAAGGTAAAAAAAGGAATTATAATTTCAGGTGACACCATATGCAGTAGTACATTATGAAACCTCAACTAAAATGCAGTAATTTTTGTACCAACTAGCACAAGTGCAGAAAAAGTGTCACATCTCCGGGGAATTATGTACAGGACTATTTGCGTATTAATGTAACTGAGGTCATATCACACATCCGGCCCGCTGTGGTTAGAGGGAAGTTCAGGCTCTCTACTGCTAATGCTTAGTATTTGTTCTACGTAGAGAGACCTGTAGGGACAGCGGTGCACTGTCAATGCAGATGCATCATCTTCCAACACACATGAAACGGAATGATAATGGTCTAAGGCAGCCTTTCTCAACCAGGTTGCCCAGGCACCCTGGGGTGCCTTGGGGTCTCTTCAGGGGTACCTTGGCAAAATGTCTAAAAATTGCCCAAAACTTGTATAAAATCCAGTGGGTGGAACAATCCTGCCTTTTAGTTACACAAAGCCACAGGTTTTCATTGTGCACCATTACGACCTTCTAGCCGACGGCCTGATAACCAATGACATCATCAGTTGATAAGGAGGATGTAGGTTGCCTGTACAGCATCCTAGTTTGACCCTCCCCCGCCCCTCTCCATTAGTGCTGCGGTCACATTAGCTCAGTGATGGAGAAAAACTGAGGGAGAAGAGAAACATCGGAATACTAGTCAGTACCAGTGAGTGAAAGTGTATTTTCTTTGGAAGAATAAATCACCTCTAATGTTGGGTGTCCTACATGTGTGGATGTTGCTGAGTTATATAAAACTATTAGAATAGTTTTTCACATTTTAGAATTGGGTGCCCTTTTAAAATTATGGACAGTCTAGAGACTCTAGAGGCACTCCATTTTAAAATGGGTTGCTTGAAGACTGTCCATAATTTTAAAAGGTGCCTTGAGTGAAAAAAAAGGTTGAGAAATACTGGTCTAAGGCTAGACATGGGCTGTGCAATATCTGTAAGGGCCCATTCTTTGGTAAGGGCCCAGGACTTCGGTAGCATGCTTAATGGAACATTTGCAATGCATGTGTGTTCAGAAGCATTCAAAATTCATGGCAGTGCGTTAACATACCAGAATGCACCTCAACAGTAAAATGTAGTTCGGCCCTCACCGAACCAAGCGGTCTGAGATTATTAACAAAATAATACTACGGATTGGTTAAAAAATGAGTCTGAAAGTGTGCATACAGCCATTTGTTTGCTGGATTCTCTCTCTCTATTTATCCTGGTGACCATTGACATTGGGACAAAGAGTAATGGGAAACTGAAAATACAGCTGTCACTAGAACAGGAGGTAGGGTCAATTTTCCAACGGTGACTTATTCTAGTAGCAACTGTCTAAGAAGAGATTTATGTTGCTTAAGAGATCATTCCTCTCACTTCCTGATGTGTCTATGGGGTAGAATAGGGTTAATAGGTTAAAATTTCTGTCATTATTATTTTTTAATTCCCCAGATTTCCTGTCCTGGAGACAAGAGCAATATGACTAAACATCTAGGCTTTGACGTGTGGAAGCACAGTTATGGAAGCCACCATAGATTATTACAGCTGAAAATCTCAGAAGGCGCCACTTACCGCGTGGAGTTCTCCAAAGCTCTGGAAAAGCTGGAATAGTCATCAGTGGAATGCTGAAGAGAGTAGAACCAAACAGCGGCCTCTTGGACTAGCGGATTCATCTCTTCTCCACCTAAAGAGTTCTGCAGAGCCTGGTAGAAAGACATCTTGCTGTCTCCTCTGCCTTGGCTTTCTTCAAATCTCTGATGGAACAGAAGACATTTTCTACATAGCTGTTCCCCAGGCAAGTAATAGTAAAACCATCACTATGGCTACATTGCATTAGCAGGTTAGGTTAGATTAGAGAAACAATTACTGTGTCTATGGAGGAATCTACTATAAATAAGAGGACAACTATACTGTAATTCTTTAGAAAACTGTGCTCTTAGTATGGCCCACAGAGTTGGCCCCATTCTTCTAGATTCTGGATTATGCATAGCCCCCATATGTAAATAAACTTTCCCTCTTTTATAACTCAAACTCTCTGTCCCTCTTTTCTGCTCAGTTCTTTTTGGTTTGCTGTATAGACTTCTTGAAAAAAAAATACTTTATCTAATTTTGTGTGTTACCATCTTGAGGGCCGCTGGATTTGATTGGGTCCCCCTAAGCTCTGCACAGCCAGGCAACACGCATTTTACACATCTTGCACCAAGAATCAATAATACAGTCCTTGAGCTGGTTTTCAGTTGGTTTTATTGAAGGGCTAAACAACTTGGATTGGGTCTAGGGGTATATGGGATGTCGAAGGAACTGTAAACTTGAGGACAGACGTCTTAGCAACCTGTACACTGTACAAAATGTAGATTCGCAAAAAAAGCACTGTCTCTTGAAAGAGCTCCAAAGTCCCTTTGGTGTACCACCTTCTTTCATTTTCACCCAGCTGTACTGAGGGTATCACTGGGCAAGGGATTCCAAGATCTAGCAATGTAGTAGTCCCGATGAGAACTAGTTGGGTCCTGCACCTGACCGCCCTCTCCCTTTATTGGCCCAGGGGGTGTAGGAGTACTCACACTGTCCAGTTCTGTCAATGTGGTGGGTTTGTGGCTGCCTTCAGGCCTTACGGTGGACTGGCTCCTTCACTGCTGCTCAGGATGTCCTCCCTAGGACATGGGCAGTGGAGAACCTCCTTTCCAGCACCTGCCTCCAGGTAGGCTCCCCTGGAGTCCCCTCCCAGGCTCTGCTCTCCAGCCTTCTCTCAATCCATCTTCCACCTGAATCCCTGCTGCTCAGGCTCTGTCACACTTAAGGGTTGTCCCTGGTCACTATGCCCAGCCTCCTGCTTGGGAAATGGCCAAGTTCCCCTAAACGTGCAAATATGGTCCTCCTCCGCCCCTCTTCCAGAAAGTTCTCCAAGTTTCTGGAATGGTGGGAGGGCTCCAGAAGCCCTGACCTGTAGGTCCTGAGGTGATCTCTCTACCTCACTCCCAGGCTTACTCATCCCAGGCTGCTTTCCAGCCTCTGATTAACAAACACAATAAACCTAGCTACCTAGAAGTAGTGCTACACAACCTTTAAATTTTTGCACTTGGTTATGTAAAAAAAAAAACTGGTTAAAGCAAAAGTAGTAGTGCTAAAAAAGCACCTGTGAGTTTAACCAATAAATGTTGGCAAATTAATTATGCATAGAGGGATAATTAGTAAATATGTCCTTTTTCTATATACTGTGTACTAAAACGTGTCTCTCTTTCTCATCTCAGAAAGTTTTCCAATGTAAGTAAGATAGCTCTGGACTGTTAGAAGTGAACATTTGCTGATATACTGCAAGGGGCTTTTTCTGTCAAATAGGCAGATCTGTGTTAAAAATATAGGGGTTGATTTACTAAAGGCAAATAGACTATGCACTTTGTAAAGTGCAGTTGCTCCAGATTTTAGTAAATGAGCTGAAGCTCTGCTGACTTCCATCATCTAATCATGTGCAAGCAGAAATGTTGTTTTTTTTTTTTCAATTCTCCTTCCATGTGATTGGGTATTCTTTGCAAAGTTGAGCTTTACCTCATTTAAAGGAACACAAGGGGGCACCAGCCTAAGTTCAGTATATTAAAAGTATTTATTAATAAAATAGCCAAATAGCTACTTACTAGAAGGCAGGGGCTGACTGACCATTTGGAAACTCAGGCACTGCCCGAGGGCCCGGGGTCAGTAGGGGGCCCCATGAGATGCCCCTGGTACCTTTTTCATAGGCTTTTTTGAGTGTGGGCGAGGACACAGGGGCCCCATGATCCCCTATTGCCCGGGGGCCCCATGAGTTGTCAGTCCGCCCCTGCTAGAAGGTACACAATGGCACCCTTACTGCCATTAGCTATCAGGATTAAATCCTTGGACCCATTGTCAGACCCTACGCTGTTGCAGTGGGTTCTGGGTTCCTCCTGCTGCACGACAATGCCCAACCTCATGTGGTGAGAGTATGCAGGCAGTTCCTGGAGGATGAAGGAATTGATGACATTGAATGACCCCCACGCTCGCCTGACCTAAACCCAATAGAACACCTCTGGGATATGTTTCGGTCCATCGCCGCCAGGTTGCACCTCAGACTGTCCAGAAGCTCAGTGATGCCCTGGCCCAGATCTGGGAGGAAATCCCCCAGTCGTCGTCTCATTAGGAGCCTCCCCGATGTTGTCAGGCATGCATACAAGCACGTGGGGGCCATACAAACTACTGAGGACCATTCTGAGTTGCTTCAATGAAATTTCAGCAAAATGGACTAGCCTGCTGCATCATTATTTCACTTTGATTTTCGGGGTGTCTTTGAATTCAGTCCTCTGTAGGTTGATAATTTTCATTTCCATCAAACGATGGGGCATCCTTACATTCCTAACACATTACCCAGTCCATGTCAGTATAGAGATCCAGCAGGAGATTTGTCCCCATTGAGATCTGATGTGTTTTCAAAGTGTTCCTTTCATTTTTTTGAACAGTGTATACAGTGTGTGTGTGTATGTGTATATATATATATATATATATATATATATATATATATATATATTTATATACACACAAATGCAAATAAATAAAATTCAGGGCTCATCACCATAAATCCAATTTAAAAAAATTCTTAGAACTTAAAGGGGTCTTTTTATTTTAAAAAATGGTGTGCGTTCACACGGCCATTGCAAATGATCACCATAGTATATCTAATAAGTGAGTATTTTCTATGATCACCAGTTCCACTTAGAGGGCATAACGCAGTGTTTTCCTAAAATATCACAATAAGGAAAATACCACACTATGGGCACTAGATGGAGCTGACCATTATGGGGAATGCACATATGATCCATATGGAAGAAAAATATATTTGAAATATATTTTAAAAATATTCTTCCCAAATATATTGCCATTTACTTGAAATGCTACAATTTTGGCCATATTCAATATACTGTATTTCAAAATATATTTCATGTCCCACATGGAATATTTTACCTCACTTCTTCTTCTGGGGCAACACTAAAATTTGGTATTTTCCATCACTTTCTGCATCAGTGACAATGGTCACCCTTTAATAATATGTCATCATCAAGGATGTATGTTCTATACGTCCGCGTTTACGTAAATAACAGCGTGATATAATGTTGTATTACAAACAGGTCACACAATACTTGACTCATGCAGATTTCTTATAAGTTGTATCAAATAGTGCTTCCTCATTGAGGTAAGTACTGCAATCCACCCACAGGATGAGATCTCATAACAATATGAAATTTGCATTAGCAAAGAAGTATTAACATTTCAAATATACAAGGGAACTTTCTGATACAGATATACACATATGGCACCATCCAAATATTATTGTAGTCCACAAAAGTCTGCAATGTAGATGCAAAACTGGGCATCTTGTGTATCAAGGACTCGTCAACCACTCAAGACAGATTCAGGTAGAATCCACCAAGTAAAGCTGGCCACACACCAGTAGAATTTCATTTTAAAATTTGAATTTTTGGAACACTTGTTCAACTTCCTTTTGGTTAGGGGTTCAAATTGATGTTCATGTTCTACCATAGTGAGGAGAAAATGAAATGGAGCAGAATGGAAAATTTTTCTTGATCAAACAAAATTCTAACTATGAATGTAGTTTTCATTCGGGAAAAAAATGTACATATTGTAATGGAACCTGTTTAATACATTTGGGATTCCATTCAAATGGCAAATCTGGCCTAAACTTTAAAGAAGAATTCCAGGTATGGTATATCTTTATGTACTTACATTGGTCCACCTTGGACCTTTTTAACTATGTGTATACCATACCTATGGGGCCCCCCTCTAAAAGCTGGAAATCACTGTATTAGACACCGATACTTCAATGATCTCCACTAGATTCTGGATCCCATGCTGAGTGGCTCCCTTGCTTCATTGTGAATGCAGGAGGTTGGCAACTCGGCATAAGTGCCATTCAGTGATCACATTGCATTTTCCTAATGTATGCAAAGTGTTCTCTGATTGGACGAGGTGGAGAGTTAGGGCAATGATGTTATACAGTCCACCCCCGTCTAATCAGTGAACTCTTTGCATTCAAAATTCAATGCGATTGCTGAATCTCCAAGCGGCTGACCTGCTTGTTTTTAAAATGCAGCAAGGCAGCCACTCAACACAGGACCTGGAAGAAACTTGGGGACCTCTGGAGTAGTGGTATTTACTACGTGATTTCCAGCTTCCAGAGGAATCCCACAGATACGGTATATGCATAGTAAGTCCACATTAAACAAGTGTAACTATGTAAAAATATCCATACATGGGATTCTTCTTTAAATTTTCAAATTAAATTGACTCGCTAGCAAGAAAAAATGTTCCAACCAACATTTTTTTTGTAGTTACCATATAGACATTCAAATGGAAATCTAACCATGTATGGTCCAGCTTAAGAGTGAACAATTTAGTGAAAATATCAGTTCAATATGTCCCTATTCAAGGTTCAGGCAAACATTTCAAAACTCCAAATATTTCAACTTGTTGCATAGAGGAAGATGTATCTTACCTTCTTAGGTGTCACCTAAATGATAATCTTTTCACAATGTTATAAATGTTTTTTTTATGGGTCTTGTTGGACAGCTTTTTTGTGTTTTGAGAGCTTTGTTGATACATGTACTTTTTCTTTCTTTCTTTTTTTTTTATAGATTTATCTATAACAGCCATTCTCAACCAGGGTTCCTCCAGGGTTGGCTAGGTGTTACTTGAGCTGTGGCTAACTGTCCTCCCATCTAATGGTGCCTAC